TCTATTCTATTCTATTCTATTCTATTCTATTCTATTCTATTCTATTCTATTCTATTCTATTCTATTCTATGGAGAGAACCAACTTAGAACTAAGGAGAACTTTCCTGACAGTTAGAACAATTAACCAGTGGAACAACTTGCCTCCAGAAGCTGTAAACACTGGAAGTTTTTAAGAAGATGTTGGATAACCATTTGAAGTGTTGTAGGGTTTTCTGTCTAAGCAGGGGGTTGGACTAGAAGACCTCTAAGGTCCCTTCCACCTCTGTTATTCCATTCCATTCCATTCCATTCTATTCTATTCTATTCTATTCTATACTATATACTTTTTCAGAAAGCTGTCGCCCCTAAAAAAAGCAAAACTTTAATCCGGTGAGTAAACAATATGTTCTTTTTAAAAAAATATTTTTTTTATTATTTTTTTAAGTTATACATTTATATTGTGTGTGAACAGAGTTGGTTCTGGCTATCATTTATATTAATCCAATTCACAGTAACAATATTAATAATCTCTATCACATTTCTCAAACATAAGCAATCCTTATTATATTGATCAATCATATATATTCAAAAATGCCTAACTCCTCATCTTTATCTCTAGAATGCTTTAACTATTTTCTAAATAGTGAAAAATTTGGCCTTCTAAAGAGCATGCACTTATTCCCGGATCAGGAGGTAGATAGTCAACTCAGGCTTTCTACATGTTTCTACAATTTCTACAGGTGTCTATTCCCGACGAATCCTGGAAAGCTTCAATTTGTCCAGAATGCAGCGGTGTGAACAATTATGCGTACATTAGTACTCTCACTGTAGATATTTGATTCATGAGTTGCATTAGCTCCCAGTAGACTTCTGAGGATAATTCAAGATGCTCATTGATACCCATAAAGTCCTTTATGGCAGGGGTTTTATTTGAAGTACCCCACCCCTTTCCCCAGTTGTATCTACATACCCCATGAGACCCTGCAAAAGGGCAATGGTCAAAGTCTTGTTGATTATGAAGTATCACTGGGAGGGATGCAGGAAGCATGCCTTTTCTGTAGGAGCATTTTCTTTGGGAAGATCTGGTTACACTAACCTTGTTTTTTGCCAAATCCTTAAGACAAGGCTTAACTTTGAGGCATTGAGGTTGAGCTCAGTTGTATGAAAGTATTGTTTGATTGGCTTAGTTTGATGGCCATTATTGTTTTGTTGGGTTTTCAGTTTTTCAGTTTGTTTTGTAATGATATTTTTGTTGTGGTCCTCCAGTGGCCAGGAGAGCTGGCAGCAGATTCGGAGAGTGAGGAGATTGGGGTGGAACATGGGCCAGTCCTGGAGTCTGGGGAAGGCTCTGATGAGGGCTCTGTGTCAGAGGCAGAGAGGGGGCCAGAGCCGTAAGCCAGTTATCAACTGCCTTCAGAGTCAGACATCAGTGAGGCAGACAAACATCTGGAGCCTGTTCCCAGTGCGCGCATGCACAGAGTTGCCAGATGAAGGGAACAGCTAAGGAACAGGGGTTGACTTGGGAGTAAGGCCAAAGGTGGATGACGAATGGCCCCTCCCATAGGAAATAAAAGAGGAGTGAAGTTTGCAGGAGACAATTAGTTCACTTAATTGGTTCGTGATTCTCCGAGATTCCTTGCCAGGTTTTGCAGATATTGGCCTGGCAGCTCTCCAATCCAGATAAGGTCTATGACTGTAAATCCTAGCTTGAATAACTTTGCTGGATGTGAATGAGCGGAAATCACGATGAATTAATAAAAGGATTTTTTTGTCAGGACAAGGAATTTGCTTCATGCTCTTGGGAAGCCTAGGTCAGAACAGTATCTAGCATTTTTCCGGTTCCATATCTAATTGCAGGAGAAAATTAGTTCGCTTAATTAGTGTGAAGATTTGTTTGTGACTCTCAGAGACTCAGCCCACAGCCTGGAGTTCGATCCTGATGGAGCTCAAGGTTAACTTAGCTTTCCATCCTTCTGAGCTCAGTAAAATGAGAACCCATATTGTTAGGGGCATTTTGCAAATGATGCTGGCATTGTAAACTGCCCACAGAATGCTATAAAACACTATGGGGCAGTTTATGAGTCCAAATACTAATTGTATTTGCAAGTACTAATTTATTTCATAAGGCTGTATTGTGGGGATGAAAATGGAAGCTCTATATTCTAAATTTTACCAAAAATATAAATGAATAAAATCATTTTCCTTTCCCCATCCCTCCATAAGGTTGTCCTTGTTTATTTGGGGAAAATAATTATTTCAATTTGTGTTTTATGTACTGATACTACTATTTGCTAAATGTGGATGCATATTGAACTATATGTGTAGAGTTGGCAGATGAAGGGAACAGCTAAAGAACAGGGAACGACTTGACAGTAAGGCCACAAGTGGACGGTGAATGGCCCCTCCCAGAGAAAATAAAAGAGGAGCGAAGGGAGAGTGGAGTTTGCAGGAGACAATTAGTTCACTTAATTGGTTCCGGACTCTCCAAGACTCCTTGCCAAGTTTTGAAGATATCAGCCTGGCAGCTCTCCAAGCCAGATAAGGTCTGTGACTGTAAATCCTCCCTTGAAAAACTTTGCTGGATATGAGTGAGCAGAATTGACAGTAACTTAATAAAAAGTGTTGTTTTTTTTCAGGACAAGGGAGTCTTCTTCGTGGTTTGAGGAAGCCTAGATCAGAACTATTTTTATTGTGTTAATGNTTTCCCACAGTAGAAAAGGCATAGTAGAATAATAGAAAGTGTGGCAGTCCAAAGATCCAAAAGGAATATGGCTAAAAGGCCTGACATTAGGAGCATAGCAATAGCACTTAGACATGTACCGCTTCTCGGTGCTTTACAGCCTTCTCTAAGCAGTTTGCAGAATCAGCCTCTTGCCCCCCAACAATCTGGGTCTTCATTTTGCCGACCTCGGAAGGATGAGTCAACCTTGAGCCAGTCAGGATCGAACTGATGAGAGTGGGCAGAGTTAGTCTGCAATGCTCCATTCTAACCACTGGGACTGAAGGAAGGCAGGCAGGCAGGCAAATAGCACTAGCAATAGCACTTAGACATGTACCGCTTCTCGGTGCTTTACAGCCTTCTCTAAGCAGTTTGCAGAATCAGCCTCTTGCCCCCCAACAATCTGGGTCTTCATTTTGCCGACCTCGGAAGGATGAGTCAACCTTGAGCCAGTCAGGATCGAACTGATGAGAGTGGGCAGAGTTAGTCTGCAATGCTCCATTCTAACCACTGGGACTGAAGGAAGGCAGGCAGGCAGGCAGGCAAATAGCACTAGCAATAGCACTTAGAGTTATATACCACTTTACAGTCCTCTCTAAGCAGTTTACAGAGTAGCCTATTGCACCCAACAATCTGGGTCCTCATTTTACTGACCTTGGAAGGATGGAAGGTAGAGTCAATAGCCATAGCCCTTAGACTTATATATTGCTTCACAGTGCTTTGCAGCCCTCTCTAAGCGGTTTACAGAGTCAGCCTCTTGCTTCCAACAATCTGGGTCCTCATTTTTCTGACCTCAGAAGAATGGAAGGTTGAGTTAACCTTGAGCCGGTGAGACATGAACTGCCGAACTGCTGGCAGCCTGCAGTACTGCATTCTAACCACTGCGCCAACCCAGCTCCTTAGAACCTCAAGATGTTTTTCCTTCCCAGGTCCAGGCTGCTGCTTTGGATGAGATGTTCCACCACCGAGAAGACTGTGTCCAAAGATACCAGAAAGCGTTGCTCTTGATGGAAGGTCTCTTGAACTTCATCACCGAGCAAGGAGATGTTGAGAACATCAATAAATGTAAGGAGGGCCAGGAATGAGACTTGTGTGACTTGTGAACATTTTGCGAGTTTTGAACATTTTAGGGATGGTCAGTTAATTGTATTTCTCATATCCTTCTGTCTTCTTAGGTAAAATGTGCATTGAACGACGGCTGTCCAGCTTGCTAACAGGAATCTGTGCATGACAATAGGATGTATTTATTTTTTCCACACAGGTAATTGTTTTGGTTCCTAAAATCCTTGGGAGTTAAACCCTGCCGCCCTTTCGAAGACGTCTCAGAAGGGACATCTTCTTGGAAGCCGTTATTGGTTTCCCATTTGGCTGTTGGCCCACCAGCGGTCAGCAGAGCTGGCAGTGGATTCAGAGAGTGAGGAGGTTGGGGAGGAACATGGGCCAGTCCTGGAGTCTGTGGAAGACTCTGATGAGGACTCTGCATCGGAGGCAGAGAGGGGACCAGGGCCGTCCGACAGTTATCAGCTGCCTTCAGAGTCAGACATCAGTGAGGCAGAAGAACAGCTAGAACTTGTTCCCAGTGTGTGCATGCGCAGAGCTGCCAGACAAAGGGAACAGCTAAAGAACGGGCCTACTTGGGAGTAACAAGTAGAGGACACTGAATGGCCCCTCCCAGAGGAAATAAAAGAGGAATGAAAGGGGAGTGGAGTTTGCAGGAGACCATCAGTTCGCTTAATTGGTTTCTGACTCTCCAAGACTCCTTGCCAAGTTTTGCAGATATCAGCCTGGCAGCTCTCCAAGCCAGATAAGGTCTGTGACTGTAAATCCTCCCTTGAAAGACTTTGCTGGATGCGAATGAGCAGAATTCACAGTCAATTAATAAAAGGTTTTTTTTGTCAGGACAAGGAGTTTGCTTCAGGCTCTTGGGAAGCCTCGGTCAGAATATTGGCAGGGAAATCTTTCCCGGATATCCATTCTGTTCCTTTTTCTCTTTCAGGAGTAGCGCCTCTTTCCTGCTAAGCCTGGTGTAAACTGTGGGACAGGTAGATACAGGAAGGACCATTTTCCAACCAGTGAAAAAGGGCTGAGGAAACTAAGGACCAAACCTGCTTCGCAGCCACTGGGGTTTTTTGTGTGTTGTTTGTGAAGAAGAACAGATGGGCTTATGGCCATGCCAGTTTGGCCCTCTTCATTTGGAGATACTTTCGTCTACTGCGGGCAGTGGACACCTGGGGGGCTTCTTGTGATTGGAGAGGTGAAGCTCAGCCAGGGAAGGATGTCCCTGGTGGTGAACAGACCTGTTCTTCTACAGATCTTTGTCTGATTGCACGCTTGGGCCCCGTCCACCACCTCTCCCCAATCTCAATGTACTTGATGTCCTCCAACATCTCCCAGGCTTCTCCTCTCTCTTTGCATGGGGGAGAAGATCTGGAGCTCAGCTTTGCTTCAGCGTACTTCATCCACTGGGATGCTGGAAATGAGACCTGATGCTCTCCCGTGGTGGATGTGTGATGGGGCACCCATTCTCCATCCATGGGGAGGTGGACACATCCATAGAAGACCGTAGACCTCTTTCAAGCAGTTGGAGCCACACAATACAATCTTGAAGCGATCGCGTTCCTTCTCAAGAAGCCAAAAACCCGTCTAGGGTAGAGACATGCCTCCTATACCCGGGCAAGGGGACATTCGATAAATGCATGGAAATGACCCCCTCGTCCAATTTAGGTACACATGTTGTGAGAAGGCACAACAAAGTTTCTGGAGAAACCTTGGAGTTTTTTCTTCTTCTCATCAATAGCTTCTCTTCCAGGAGGGACAGGAAAAGAGAGGAAAGAAAACACATATGCAATACACAACACACACATACACTAGCTTTGTGAATCAAAGGAGCACTTTATGGAGATGTTGAACTCGATGGTTGCGGGCTGGATCTTCTGTAACAGCTCCAGAGGTGTCTACTGTATGGGACTTCTTGACGTGTTCTGCTCTGCGCTAAATTCAACGTAGAGGGTTCCTTTGTGTTTTTTTTTTCGTTTTCTTTTCTTCAGAAATTGCACTACAAGTATGTGTGGGTGTCTACCCACACATACACAGACACGTTGCTAAGATCCAATATGTATTTATGTGTATATAACGTATAATGTTACGTGTTTTAACTGTACTGTATGTTGTTAGAATAAGGGGAGGGGGGGACAGCTACACCTTTTTCCTGTTCTCTCTGTTATCCAGGTTGCTAACTTGAACAATTTCTAACATCAATCATGGTCTGTTTTATTTTCTCTCTCCTCCTCCTTCTTCCATCTTCTTCCTCTTTTTCTCCTCCTCTTCCTCCTCCCCCTTCTATCTTCTTCCTCTTCTCCTCCTCTTCCTCCTCCTCTTCCATCTTCTTCTCCTCCTCCTTTTCTCCTCCTCTTCCATCTTCTTCCTCCTCCTCCTCTTCCATCTTCTTCCTCCTCTTCTTCTCATCTTCCTCCTCCTCCTCCTCCTCCTCACTGTTCAAACCAACATGGTTTTCAGAAGCTAAAGGAAAAGGTTGTGATGGATTGCGTATTTGCAACTTATTGGGTCCCCCTCCCCATTTTTCTTTTGCAAAGAAGTTTTTTGTTTTGTTTTAGTTGTCTGTTTTCCCATTTTAGCATTCAACTTAAAATTCCCCATTCCGCCCATTTTTAAAAACAATGAAGTAGCTCCCTCCCACCCCACCCCCCCACAAAAAAAGAGATGTTAGGACATGGTGTGTGTATGTTTCTGTACTTTGGAGTGTGCGTGTGTTTTTTTGAGGGGGCAGCGGGGGTGGGAGCTGTACATGCACATTTGATCTTGTGACGGCATCACAGCTCCGAGCCAATGCTTGAGATACACACACACACATGCCCGTGAGCTTTGTCTGTGTTGTGTGGTGTGCTTTGTTTTGTGGTGCGTGCATTTGGTTTGTGGTTTTTATTTTGTTTGTTTGTTTTAAATGGAGGGATCCAACATTCGGTTAATTTTTGTCCATTCAAAGTGAAGAAGCATGCTTAGAAAATATAACCCAGATTTCAAGATTGACGTTCTTTCCCCCCCCCCCGCCTTTTCTAAAATAAGAGCGAGTTGCGTTTCTTTTGCATGCAGCCAAGTTCACAATCCATCTCTTTATTTTCTCGTAAAGGAAGAAACAATCTTATTGACTTTGGAGCCACTTCTGTACCTTTTTTTTATTTTAAAAAAGGGTAATCTACACGGAATGCATTAAAAGATTTATTTTAAAAAAGGAAAAAAAAATCTCCCTCGTTTACACGCATACGGGATGGTGGGGTTTTTTTTTTACACCAACATTTTCACACACCTTTTGTTTACGCCGTTTCTGGCAATTTGATTGCGTTTTAAATTAGGTACACAAATGCTTGGTTTCAAGAGAAAGAGTGTGTTATGGATTAAAAGCCATCACTGTTGAATTGTGCCTAAACTAACAAGAAACCAGCAAATGTTGTTTTAGCCCTGGTGACATTATGGGAGTGGAGATGCACATCTATACATAGTAATAAGAATAAAGGATATCTTTGTCTCTAAGTAACCCAGCACTGCTAAACATATCTGGGTATTATCAAGCATCAAGTTATTATCAAGCATTAGCTAGATGTTTAGGAATACAGTTCAGACATTCTCAAGTATGAGCCACGGTTTGAAAATTGGAAATAGGAATTTTTCTGGTTAGTCCATAAGGTGAATATTCAGCTTTGGTGGGTGAGTGGGGAAATCCCCTCGCGCTGAGTGTTAAGTTTGTTGGGCTCCAGAAACTTTTCTAGAAGTGTAAAAACAGGCAAGAGAGCATTTAGAAATTAGGAAGATAAGAGTAATGAAAAGCTCCAAAGTTGAGTGAGAGAGGAGGAATATTCTCACGCCTTGAGATGGATGGGGCAAGAGCAAATAACGTCCTGTATTTGAACATTACTTATCTCAAAGTATGTTTCCCGTTGTGTTGTGTGATATTTGGTTGCAACTTTTCTGTTGCTGTACGTATCTATTACAACATGGCTTGTATCTGCTCACTCTATGTCTCTCTCTTTGTCTCTTATCTCTGTCTATCTATCTATGTGTGTGTCTCTCTGTGTCTCTCTCTCTCTGTCTCTGTATATATATCTTTTTTCTTGTCTACCAATCAGCACCCAGGCAATCAACTGTGAAGGCAATTTATCTTTTTTAGCCCCTCACACATCCCTGCCCCCCCCCAAACAACATGCATTCTGATGCCACCTACCCACAAAATTTGAGATAAGTGCTGACAGACAACCCCCTTCTCATGAATCTTTACCAAAATAGAGTGAGGGGAAATCTTAAGCCATCTTCTCCTCTGGGCAACTTTTATTTTTTTTTAAATTAAAGATGTTTTTTTCCATAAGTTAGAAAAAATTCTGTAAAGAAAATAGAGAATGCTTCCTATCTACTCTTTGAAACATCCTAATAGACCCAACTTCTTCCAGAATTCCCTTCTATTCTTTACATATCCCTCCCCGCCCAAAGTTGAATCTCAGTTGGTCACTGGAACAAAGATTTAATTTACTTTTCCGAGTTTTCGGACTCATTCTGGAGTCTATCTTCGGGGAACTTCTCTCTGTTGGCTGATTGGTGTTGATGGCTGGCAATTGGCTGTTGTTTCTTTCTGCTGCCAAGCCCTCGGCTCTTGAGTATTTAATAAACCAATGGTAAATCAGTACTCCTGTTGACTGACAAGGGGCCCGTTTCCCAGGCTTCCACCTTTTCCTTGGCTGTTTTTGTCCTTGCTCAGCCAACAATCTTAGTAGCTACGAAATTGAATGTGTGTCTTTGTTCCTTGCAATGCGAAGCTACCGATGCGTCCGGGGTCTCCTTGTCTGACGGCTCGCTTGTGTTCTTGCAATCTGGTGGTTTAGCTGTGTCTGTCCTGCATAGTCATATGGGCAATCCATGTAGGAGATCCAGTAGATTACAATTGGAAGTTTCTCCCACTTCCAAGTGACCTTTACAGTGCATAATTTGTCCCCGTACAGCAGTGCGATGCCCACTTGCAGAAGCTGCATCCTACTGGTTTCGAAATGTTTTTGATGTGTCCTATAACCGGTCTTGTACCTTCTTTTATCTTTCCTTGCGTTCTGTGCAGGCATCTTGTAATAAATTATTGTGGGTACCCATTACCCTAGAATTGTTCACGTAGGGTACCTTCTCTCCATTTGCTTAGCTTGCTGGCTACGACAATGGGTTGTCACCTTGCCATACATTGTTCTGACACAGCGTTTTTGTGTGTGACAGTGGATGATTCTTCTTGAAATTGAGAATTCGTGGCGTGAAGAAAGAGGCTTCTGCTTTCTTCATTCATCTTCAAAATCTTTTGCATTGTCATATGAGTTTGGGTCAGAAGCTTCCTCACCAGTCCAATCTCTTTTCTTCATTTAGCAAAAGTCCAATCAAAGTGTCCAGTGTTTTAAAAATGCATGTCGCGTTTTTCTCCTTGATCAAATGAGGTCACGCTTTTTGCGTTAACTTCAGCTGTTTTCTTCCTTTAAGTCTTGTTTAAGCACAAAGGGGATAATTGGATAATCTAAACTTTTTAAAATAAGTTTTATTTTAATAACAACATACCATCTTTCATTAAACAGTGTGCCATCTGGGTACAAATATTTTGTGCAGTAACAATTAAAATTACAGCCATATTCATTCTTTTATCTATTCTTAAGTTAATATTAATACATAACATACCATTGTAACAGTCCCCTTCTTAACTTATTTAACTTTACAATAGAATACAATTTCCCTCTTTCACTCCTCTGCTTTCATTTCTAATTTTCATATTTATTCTCTATCCATTGATCAATAACTCCCATATACTATAACAATCAGATCCTTCCTTTTCTTTAATTGCAAATGTTAATCTACTCATTTCTGCGCATTCTAATATTTTCTTAATCACCGTCTCATCCATAGGGATCTCTCCACTTTTCAAATTTTGTGGAAATACAATTCTAGCTGCAGTTATTACATGAATAATCAAGTATACCTTTTCTTTATTATATGTTTCTGGTAAAATCTCTAATCTAAACTTTTAAGAGATTTCGGTTCTTGCTGCTCTGCGTCAAAGACGCCATCCCTGTTGCACGAGAAACGTTTGAAATAGTTTTTTTCTACCTGTCAAGCTGCCAGTTTTTGCTCTTGAGGCTGTAAACTTCCAATTTATCTCCCCACTTTGCTAAAACACTTGGTCTATTCAGTGCTAACTTTCCTGCTATCCTTAGTGACTTGAATGCATCTTAGCTGTCCACATCATTCAGGAGAGAAAATAAAGAGAGAGAAGAGAGAAAGAAAGAAAATCACTGAGATTGTCTCCCTCACATGTTCACACGGTATTTTCTCAATACTTGAAATTTAACCACTGTGCTTGAATTAAAACAATACAAATAAAGAAACAAGGCATTTTTTTAAACGCCATATTGGTAGCTTTGTTGTTATTATTTTGTCCTTCTAGGTTTTCAAACTAACTGCATGTAGCATGAGACATTGTTGATTTTTTTTTTGTTCTTTTTGTTTGATTAGAAAAGTAATTATTTATTGAGCTGTACACGTCAGGAATGGGGGGGGGAGTTTAAAATGAGGAGGGGAAGAATTAGGATGTATCTTCCATCCGTTTCGTTCCCTCGATGGGTTTGTTACTTGTTATCGGCATTTTGTACGTAGCGTCTGAATTTAGATCCCAACTGACCTTCAGTTTTCACCGCCACTCCGTTCAGGTTTGTGAGAAAGTATGTTTGATTGACACTTGGCCTTTCATTTTATTTCAATTTTTTTGTTGTTGGAAAAGTGTTACGTGACTTTGCGCGTGGGTGTATTCTTGCTTTCCGTTGTATGACGCCGACTTCAGGAAAATAAAAATTTTGATTTTTCATTCTTGGGGTGCTTTGTTCTCTTTTTTCCCCCTCTCCAGGATGGACTTCTGGTTGTTCTGCTGATTGGAGATTCTTGTCCCAAAGGTACCTTTTCTCCAAAAGGCAATGGGACTTTGTTTTTCCTTGAAATTTTTTTGCTCCTGATCCAAGAAGCTTCTTCATTTCTGAGGTCAGACTTCCAACCAGTCAGAACAGAAGAAGCTTCTTGGATGAGGAGCGAAACGTCTTCAAGGAAAAACTAAGTCCAGTTGCCTTTTGGAAAAGCATCTTTGGTACATTCAGCTAAGGGAGGCCCGCCAGGCTGAAGTCACCTTGGAGGTCACTTGATTTTTGGTGACGCCATGGAGAAACCCTTAAGGAATAGGACAGAATAGAATAGAATTAGAGTAGAATAGAATGGGGAATATAAATGGGAATAGGAATAGAAAAGGGAATAGGAAT